TCCTAGTAGTAAGGCCAGGAGCCCCAAGTAGGGTCCTTGTTACTAGTTCCTTTCGCTTCTTCTCCACTTCGATCTTTTGCCTTCATCTCCAACGACGACACCGGCACGTGGAGCCTCAACCACATCCTCGCCGCTGTCCTCAAGACAAAACGAGGAAACTGTGAGAAGATTGGGCCTCCAACCTAATAGCGATGGCCTTCAACCTAGAAGCAATGGCCTATTTGACAATTACAGTTCTTTTGGATCATCGTTTTCTTTTTTCTTTCTTTCCAACACATCACGGGCCATCATGGATCCAAGACAATTCCATCACTAACAAACTTGCGAACATGTTTGTGGAATGGGCCACATCAATCTGGGACAAGGGGCACTCCAGGCATCAAAATCTCGCAACTTTTTCTTCGGAGAGTCCTTCACCTGGCAAAATGTTCAAAATCCAAGAAACAATGCTGCAAAGCCTCTCAATGGCCTCCAACCTACTAGCGACGGCCTCCAACCGAAAAGCAATGCTGCAAGGTCTCTCAAAATAGCAAATTTGATACTTAATTCTAATTAACGTCTTCTTATTCTTACTACTAGTAAGGCACTTGTTACTAGAAGCGTTGCACTTGTTACTAGTAGCAAACATTTTTCCTTCGCCTCACTTTCTTCGATGCCAACCTCATCGTCGCTCCACCGGTCAAACTCTTTCTCCTACCGAAGCCCACCGCGGAATCGGTGTGGTTCCGGTGAACTCTCCATCGCTGGTAGGAGCAAGGGCCTTACTAGGAACAAAAAGCTAGTAGAAACAAAAAGTAACTAGACTTTAAATAGAATTATATAAGTGTAATTAAAAGCAAGGATGCTACTAGGACCTTTGCGCGCGCGCACGCGCGCGGGGGGGGGGTAGGAGCAATGTTCGGGGCTCCTGGCATCGCTACTAGGAGCGATCGGACGCTACTAAGGTTGGAGGCCTACATGTGATGCGGCAATGACCTGCTTCGCTCTCGCCTCGTTTCAAGATGGCTTCACGGTCGCTGCGCTTGGGGCTTAGTGTGTGTGCCGTTCTTTGCCCGTCACTTTATGGATAGCAAGGCTTGCTCTCACGTCACATGTTTGGAGGTATTCGCGGATGGCAACTGATCCACTTCTTGCCTGTCTTGCTTTGGATTTCAAGCCACATGAGGCGACAAACATGATTGCAATGCAAAGCTGCACACTGCCGGGAGATGCATCTGCATCGTCATCGCCTGGCCTCAAATGTGTCTTTTCCGGTCTTCTTTTCCTACTAGCCATGGCCTTCAACCTAGTAGCTTTTTGCTACTAGTAGTATGGCCAGAAGCCCCTAGTAGCTTCTTGTTACTACTAGTAAGGCACTTGTTCCTAGTAGCGATGCACTTGTTACTACTAGCTTCTTGTTGCGACTAGCTTCTTGTTCAAAACGAAGCGGACAGGTCCTGGGAAACCTTCGTGTGAGTCACCGGAGTCGTCCCCTCAGTTTCGCTTCGAAGCAAGGACGCTACGTTCGGGGCTCCTGGCCTTTCTACTAGGAGCAAAGAAGCTAGTAGTAACAAGTGCATCGCTACTAGGAACAAGTGCCTTACTAGTAGTAACAAGAAGCTAGTAGAAGCAAGAATTAGTAATTAGAATTAAGTTTTCATTCCGTATTCTTTTATTCGAATTCAAATTAGCAAAGGAATCTACTAGGAGCAAGGACGCTACTAGGGGCTCCTGGCATCGCTACTAGGAGGAAGAAGCTACTAGGAACAAGGAAGCTAGCGCAAGAACACTGAAGAAATCTCAGGCATCTTGCTACGCTTGGGTGATGCATTGGCTTTCGCCCGGAAGCGCCGAAGCGCTTGGAAAAACCATGTGCGCTGGGAATCCGAATGGGGAAACGGCCGGGGGAACTTGGGAATTCGGTGCCCGGTCTGTGCCGTTTTGGTGTGAACATCGATTTCTGCGTTCTAGGAACAGGTGCATCGCTACTAGTAACAGGTGCCTTACTAGTAGTAACAAGAAGCTATTAATTTGAATTTAATTCTAATAGCGAACATTGCTACTACTAGCAAGGCCCTTGTTACTAGAAGCGATGCACTTGTTCCTAGTGGCTTATTGTTTCTAATTTAATTCTTGTTTCTACTAGCGAACATTGTTACTAGTAGCAAGGCCCTTGTTACTAGTAACAATGCACTTGTTACTAGTAGCGAACCTTGCTCCTAGTTGTAAGGCCCTTTGCTCCTAGTAGCGATGCCGCCCCATTCGTAGCGTCCTTGAAAAAAAAGAGGCTGCATGGACCAAGAGCTGAAGAGAACGAAAGAAGAAGTTGTTCATCTGCAGTTCGGTGCACATCCACCTAGTAGCGTTCCTTGTTCCTAGTAGTACGGCCAGGAGCCCCTAGTAGCTTCTTGCTCCTAGTAGCGATGGCCTTTGCTCCTAAACTCTACACACACACACACCTCTGGGTTGTGTCAAGTTGTGGCTAACTTTTGCTATTGCTACACAGTTTTGATACCATGCTGTCACATCTTCACAAACATACACCAAGTAGTAACAAGTGCCTTACTACTAGTAACAATAAGAATTTAATTAGAATGTTCATTACTAGCTTTTTGTTACTACTAGTAAGGCACCTGTTACTACTAGCGTGGCACTTGTTCCTAGTAGCTTCTTGTTTCCTCTCTTTTTCTCACAGATCGCTCCTCCCTTCTTCCGACCTCTCGTCGCTACCTGTCACTTCGCTCGCTGCTTCTTGTCGCTTGACGCTGTGGCTCTCTGCCAGCAGTGCCACCAAGCTGGTCCACCCTTCCCGTTTCGATTCGGAGACCAGGTGCCACCAAGGTTGGAGTCTTGTTTTTTTCCAGCAATCGTTGTGTCATGCTTTTCCATTCGGTCTTGTTCTGACCATTCTTGTTTCATGTTGATAGACCCGTTTCTGCTTTTTTTCTTTTCTTTTGCTGGTATAGGAACAAGAAGCTACTAGGGGCTCCTGGCCGTACTACTAGGAGCAAGGACGCTAGCACAAGAGACGGCACAAGACTGTCAGTCGTGAACATCTGCCTGCAAATGGTGCCGCGCCACGACCTTCTCCGGTTTTGGGGTCGAAGTTCTCCATCAGAAAGCGTTGTCCTCGGAGCATTTCGTCATAGTCGATCACACATAGTCGATGTTTCATCAGTGTTTCACATCGCTATTAGGTTGGACCTTTGAGTGCTTCAGCGTTTCTGTCCATAGTGTCCTTGCTCCTAGTAGTGCCAGGAGCCCCGTTCGTAGAGTCCGATCGCTCCTAGTAGCGATGCCCTTTCACTCGAACTTGCGGACATAGTTCGCTTTAAAGTTCTCAGCACCGTGGCCACGAAACCCGACTTCAGCGAGCGGAAAGCTGTGGCAGCCTCGAAAGGACGTGCATCAAACGTATGCCTCCAACCTACTAGTGATGTGCTACTAGCGATGGCCTCCAACCTAGTAGCAATCAAATGTAAGCTAAAATGCCAGTAGCAAATGTGATGCATCAAATCAGCTTTCCAAACCATAGGTCCTGTTCACTTTCGCATCTCTGCAAGGCAGAAATCGTAAGATAGTTCAGGTTGGCCCAAATCTTTCCTCCTTGGAGCGATTCGTCTCCCGTACAATACTAAAGATGGCCTCCAACCTAGAAGCAATGGCCTCTAACCTACTAGCGATGGCATCCAAACAATCGACAATGCAACTGTCTGCGAAGAATGCTAAACTTTTCGGACAAAAGACTCCAATAGTCTTCTCCACTCCGAAATAGTGGATCTTTGGAGGATAGGGACAGGACCCCATAGCGACTCCAAAGTTCACCAGCCTTCACAAATGTGCACTTCTACAATGAACGCATGCGCAATCAACGGACTTGAAGAGTTGTCAGTATCTCGGGAAACCGGATCCACAAACAGGTTTACCGACGGTAGCCGTTCTTACTCCTTTGAAACATGGTTTTTGCTTGTCATAAACTTTCCACGTGTCTCCGAAAATCTTCAGTTGTGCTGGGGTGTTTCTGATCAGGAGCCTATTGCAGCTATCGGATTTCCAGGCACAATCAGCCAGGATGGGCTTACACTTATCACCAAACCCCGACAGGTAACACTGCACCAAGAGCCAAACACCACATGGCGAGCATGGGATTTTCATGGGCAAATCTACCAGCTTGGGTCACTATTGTGTCTCCAGTTGTGTCCGTCCGGCATCTCCCGCTGTGCTTGGGTTGCTTGAGAACCGCTTGAGTCTTCCGCCACCTTGATTTGTTTTGCTTAACACAACGGTGATGCGAGCAAAAGAAGGCCCATGTGCTTCCGGCTTCTTCCTATTTTGCGTCTATGCAACATTACTATGAGTCTATGAGGTTGGAGACCATTGCTAGCCGGTTGGAGGCCATTGTAGGTTGAACTCCAAACTAAGAGCAAACTATATTAGACATTTTTTCCTTTTCCTTTTCTTTCTAATAGCAATGGCCTCCAACCTGCTAACGACGGCCTCCAACCTACTCCCATCGCCGAATTCGACCATCGCCGAATGACATATCCACATGGTCCAGTTAACAGTGAGGTTGGAGGCCATCGCTATTAGTTAAGTTTCCCAACAAATCTAGGGGCCAACTCATTAGTGCGAGCGTTTCTGCATCCCAAGTAGTACGGTTGCTACAAAAAAACAGTTTTTTAAATAACCAAATAGGTATTTTAGTGTACCTCCGTGAAGGATCTGTCGGGGACCACCAGCCATTAAAACATGCGGAAAAGCAATCTCCTAAATCATTTCACAAAATCGGACTAGAGTCAAGCTCAACAAGGTCTTCTTCCTCCGCTGATTATCCCAAGCCCGTTCCCTTGGCTGTGGCTTCACTAGATAATACTTACTGAGTAAATGACGATGCATTTGGCTGCCTTAAGAGAATCGTAGTTGCTCCCGCCGTTTACCGGATCCTGCTTACAGGGACCCCCCTTACATGGCCCCCCCACATATGTGGAAACTCTTACGTGGACCCTGCTTACGTGAACCCTACTTACATGGACTCACCTTGTCTGAAACCCCCATACGTGGAGCCCCTTACGTGGGCCCCCCTTACGTGGACCTAGCTAGATGGACGGTCTCATAACAACTTTCCTTATGCACAACCTGATATCATGGCCCTCCTTACGCGGACCCTCCTCCCCTAGACCCCCCATACATGGACCCTACCTAGCTGGATTCTCTAAATCGACTTTCCTTACGTCGACCCATTTGTGCGTGGACCCTCGCTGCGTGGACCACTCTCTTACGTGGACCCTACCTTTACATGGACCCTCCATCTTGCTTATGGGGACCCTCCTTACGTGGAGCCTCCTTTCCGTGGACTTTTTGCAGGTGAGGTTGTTTATGGGGCCCTCCTCCCTACAGGGGCCTTGTGCGATTTGTTCAAATAGTTTCCACAATTCAACTAAACTGAATCCAAGTGTCAGCCGGCGCTTGTGGGCCCAAAGGGTTGTCATCATATGCAGCGCTTACAGCCTCCATGTTCTTGGCTATCGGAGTGCGGCGCTGCATTTGTTGAATCCAAAGCTTGCTTCTGTTCACCCACCAACGGAACATGGAAAATGAGTCGGAGGGTCAAGAAACCCAGCCCCTGAAATGAAAGCAAACTCTGTTACGCGCCCTTAGAAGTTTAGCCAGGCTATCATGCGCTGGAGGGTCTGTGGCCTGCCCAGTGGAGAGGAACAAGTGTCAATAGCATTCCTCCTTCCTTCAAGGGTTTTTCACTTTTTTCTTTTCCTAGCTCTTTTTCGCCGCCGGTTACATAAGTTAGGAATCTTAACTTTTGATGTGTTCTCTCTGCTCTTTCTTTTGTTTTCCCTTTTCCTTCTGTTTGTCTTTTTCTTTTCTTTTCTCTTCTCTTTTTCTTTGACTTTCTTTTTTGGCCTTTTCTATCTTTTTCTTTTGTGTGATATTTTCATTGTTTCTCGCTTGTTTTCTAAAAAGCAGCTCGTTTTACGTCTCCTCTGTCAGTGTCTTTACCTTGGGACACCGATTTTTGCATTTATGTTTTCGATGTCTCCATGCCTTAAAGTATAGCGACAAGGATTCGAAGCACTGGGAGACTGATGGAAAGTGGCGGCATCCGCCCAAGACGCAAGACCAGACCTCCTCACATTTATGTTTTCTCCTCTGTCAGGATTATTGCCCTGCCACTTCACCCCACCCTTACCTTTATGCGTTCGATACACATATATATATATATGAGACCCTACCTTATCACTACCTAGTTTAGATTCAACATGACCCTTCCTGCCAACGGCCCCCTCTTGCAAAACGGACCGAAATTGGGGAGGGTCATAGATGATGCGGTTGTGCTCCAGATCGTGCTCGCAGTCCAAAAGACCCATTGTTTAGGGCAAGCGCGGTCAAGCGTAAGGTTCGCCAAAAAAATATCCCGGCCTGATACAATTGGGTTGAACAATCGAAAACCAGGAAAAATTCACGAGCGCGCAAAAAGTAATGGCCCGCGCAACTTTGGCCCAGCCGTCCCCAACACGTGGTCCGGATGACATTGACCAGCAGGTTTGGCGCCGGCAACGTTTGAGACGGCGTGGCCAAGAGGGCCAGCCTCGAGAACAAGGCTTTGGGCGTCTGGCCGCTTAACAGGCCTTTCGTCAGCTGATATGTATTTCAAGGAGCAAATTTCACTAGTATATAGAAAATTGAAAAACCGCCCGGGCGCCAAGCCTTTTTCCCACAGCCGAGACACTGCAGCCGTGGGACATGCCTTCAAAGCGCAGTCCAAAAATTAGGTAGTCCCAGTTTCTTGCATATGTGGATTGAACTGGGTATTTTCGAACGGTCTCGCAAAAGAACATATGATAGTGCGTTCGTTTTGTGAAATGTCTCCAGCGTTGCAATTTCCCGTGGCCTAACTTTAAGATTGCTTGTGCTGCGGCGTTTGCCCCTCCCAACATTTAGACGAACGCGTAATTCGTGTCCAGGGTATGTGGCGGCGTTCTTGTTCAATCCCTGACGCAAAAAAATCCTGCTCGCCTTCGCCCACAAAGCCTGCAAGCACGGGCGGGCCGTCGTCATCGCCGAGGCGGCGCAAGAGCCTTGCGAGCGAGTGGTTCCCAGCTCGCTGGTCCCAGCTCGCTGGTCCCAGCTGCACACCTTCACGCAAGTCTGCCCTGTGCCTTCTTCCTTCGCCCTTGCCGGAGCAAGTGCAGCTTCAGCTGGTCCCACTTTGGCCATTCATGCTGTTCAGCAAAGCGTGAAAGGGAATCGCGCAGCATCCATACCCTGGCTTTGTCTTGAGCGTCAGCCAGTCAACGCTCCAAACGGGCCGCCCCAGTTCTCGGGCGAATCGAGAGGATTTGTCCACCCGATTGGGCGCGCAGGCCGCCCAACCCTCCTAGACAGGAAACAGCCCACAAGACGCGCCGAAAAACAAGACGAAAAAAGAAGCGAATGACAAGGAAGAGCAACGAAAGGGGATGCGATGCAAGAGAAGGTGAAAGGAAATACACAACGAATTACGTTCATGGGGCGACTCGTTCATGGGGCACCGGTCCGAGACTGTGAGCATACCTTTGCCCAAGACTCCTGACTGCAGAGCATGTGCAAAGATTAGCGCGGTGACGCTCGAATGAGGTGGAACGACAGAAGAAGCTAGAGACAAAATCGGTAGGAAGAAACATGTTTACAGCAGGGCACATCGTCTGCGACGTCGTCAGCGTTTCATTGGTTTGGTAAAGGCACAACCACCCTACGTATGCGTTAATGCTTTTCGTTGCTGGATTCCTAGTTTTCCTTTTCTTTTACCTTTTCTGTTCCTTTCCTTTTCTTTCATATCCTTTTCTGCTTGCTCTCTTCCTTTTCTCTCCTTTTCCCTTTCCCTTTCTTTCTTCTTCTTCGTTCCCCTTTCCTTCTCCTTCTACTTTTTGTCTTTTTTATTTGCGCTTGCCTTCACCTTTCTCGCCTGCGTAGGCAATTCACGCGCGCCCTGTATGTGGACAAATATGTCACATGATCTTCCCTCTATAGCGGCTGCCCGACATTCTATATGGATATACCCCCCTCCAATTATCCACTTTTGTTGGTTTGACATTGGCCTTTCCTACATGGATGCAAAAACACAACCGTTGTGAGGATCCTTAGATGGCTTTGCGCCTGCGCGCTCTTTCTACGCCGTGCCTTTCACGCTAAGCCTGCGCCCTGCAATTGCGTAGCTGTCTTATTTTGCCTCTGTATGGACACCCTGCCAAGCCTCTGTCCTCAAACACCTGTGGCTTTTTGACGTGACATTGGCCCTTCCTACATCGAGCCCTCAACAACCTGGCACCAGCCCCTACCAGCAGTCCTGAGTAACTTTCTACGTGGACTCGGTCAACCCAAGAAGTCTGTGCGATTTGGTCTGTGCGATTTGATAGTGGCCTTCTCCGTCTACACTGGGATGACTTTAGGCAAGGTGCTGCGAATCCAAGGCGCTGACCGCTGAGCGTCCGAATTTACCTGCGCCGCTACATCAGCGATGGGCTCATCGTCCGAAGACTCGTGCGGCTCCTGCAGCTCCAACCGGCTGGCGGATAGACACGCCTCTTGGATCAAGGCCTGGTCGATGTGCCTATGTGGTGGGAGCTGCTTCAGATTTGAACTTGCATGGAGCGGCTTGCGTGTTGAAAAGGGTCCTATGTGGAGGGTAATGAATGAAGGCCAAGGCTCCACGGCTAAAGAAGGCTTTCCCAACAGCCGTGCGTCACACTCGGGGTAGAACTTCTTGGTGGCTAACACAAGTGAGCTCTGACACTTATTCTTCTCGTTGCGTATATCCGTAAACCAAAACCTCTTTCACCTAAATCGTATATAGCAGGTACATCGTAAGTTTAAACAATACCTGGCCTTCGTTCCGGCTTGGCAGCTTGACAGGACTCTCTTCACCAGTGGGTTGCTCGGCATACGCTCTTCAAAGCGCTGCTGCTCATTGATGGTTCTCGCAAGGTCCGTCTTGCTCTGCTGAGTAGCGAACACATGTTCTTCTGCTGAATCAGTGCGCATCAAGCGGTAGCAGTAGGTCTGCTTCGTCTGCGGAGGTCTCTGATGCGACCTCAACCCACCCTGTCTGGAGTAGGTCTGAAACGGTCCTTGAACTCGCTTCCATCTCTCTGTAGTCAAGCGCAAGCAATGGCCAATCGTCGCCGGAGAACTGGTCGTAGGAAGAAAACACAAAGTTGGAGCGCAAGTCTTCACGGATCCACTCACTCATCTCTGCGCGCCAGTGTCTCACCAAGCTGGCGGGGCTCACCACGCACACTTGGCCCTCACACCTGGAGGAGTAAAGGGCAGCAAAGAAAAACGCCAACGTGCACCCTCCACTTGGTGCTGCAAAGCGCGTGGATTGAGAAAATCCAAGGCCTCGCGTTGGCCAGCTGAAGGAAAGGCTGCTGTCGGCATCTGCCCCATTGTGAGAGAAGTGCCGGCAATGCTGTCAGTGTTGGCATCTTCACTGCCCGGACTCCACCTCCTCTGCAGGGTTCTGGAAAGGTTTAAAAACATGCAACATGCTTTGCTATTTTCATCCTGCTTCGTGCGCTTGCCCACTCAGGACCCAGCTTGGTTGCCAAAGAAGAGTCCGTCACCATCTCCCTCCATTTCTGTCTATCCGCAATGATTGCCCAATCAATCAAGCTGTCGACTGCAACATGTGGCTGAGCTGAAGCCCATGGAATCTGAGGTCTCTTGGGTTTCGCCATCTTGACAATCAATGTGCTTCGATGGGCGGCCTGGCAGGCTTTCAGCTGCTGCGCCAGGCCAGCAAGGCCGCCGCCCGGCAGAGGCGGGGCAGGCCACGCGCAGGTTGGGGTACCCAAAAGTTTTCACGAAGGGTTCTGTAGTGCAAGGCTTTGGCTTCGGTTTTTTCTGGCGGGCGCAAGTTTTGGCGACTGCGTGAATGCCTGGTGGGGTTATGTGGATGTGGCGGGCTTAGTGGAGGGGTGTGGCTACATGACTGGTTACCACCATGTGGGGCTATGTGGGGGCTTTGGCGCTTTGCCAATCCTGCTGCTTCTCTTTTTTCCTAGTGAGCATTTTTTGGGCGCTTTGTGGGGCTTTGGCGATTTGGCAATCCTGCTGTCTTTTTATTGTTGTGAATGATGAAGCAACTGCGCATTTAAATATGCGGAGCCGCCCGTTGCCCCCAAACATACGGACAGAATAGGAACCATACACGACCTCCACGAGGATTAACCCTGGGCCGCCCTCCACATATTTTAATAGCGTAACCGTAGCTACTTTTCGCTACTAGCTACCTCCGCGGCCTACCCCCCCCCGCGCGCTACCTACTAGCTGCCTCCTACTTCCACTATACGGCCTACCCCGGGCAAAAAAAAGAAGCTCCTTTGCAAACGCTTCGAACGCCGTCCGTTTGCCGCTTCGCCTCGCTCGCCGCCTCACCTTGTGACTTCCACGACTTGGTGGCTGCAAGGCCGCAATCAGTCGTTGCGCCATCGGATGATCACATGGAAGATGTCCCAGGACCAATGGAAACAAGGATACATATCCCAAGTGAGGCGAATGCACTGAAGCCTCAGGATGTCAGACTTTACAATTCCAAAATAGTTTATTTTTTCGAACAGCATCGGAAAAACACATGAAAAAAGCATATCGAAGGCGTGTATAAAAGGTCGAAGCACCCCAAATTGAACCAACATCGACCCAAACAACCTTCGCGCAACAGGTTTCTTTAAAGCAACCATTGGCAAACACATGACGGTAAAATGCCAAAAAAGCAAACCTCGGACGTCTCAAAAGAACACATCGTTGCTTTTTGGAAATGCATGTATGTCGACCGATACAAGCATGTGTTCCCAGAAACATGTCATGACGTTGTACTTTCACAGTCACAGCTCTGGCTTGCCAGAAGCATACAATGGACAAAGACTGTGTATTTCACAACTATGACAGGGTGTTTTCCAAGGTGCAACTCAACATTTTCCAACACATACCATTGTGCTTTGTCAGAAATCCACCTGTGCGCGAGCACAAGCCTGTCCTTCCAAAACTTGCCGGTGTTGTGCTTTTCAGAAAATCAAATGTGTTATCATTGTTCAACACCAAAAACAAGGGGCCCCTTTCAGAAACATGCCGTTGAATGTCCAAGCTCGAACTCTGCCTTTTTACCAAAAACGCACAGTGTATTTTCAGACATGCACCCGGGTGCCTTTTCAACCAATGCATAAGCGTGTGCATTCAGAAACATAGCATTGCATTTCCGAAGTCAAAAGCTTGGCCTGTGGACAACTCAGAAACTCAATTGGAGGCCATCGCTGTTAGAAACAAGTAACACAATGAACAGGCAGAAAGGATAAGAAAGGTCTGTCCTTTGCTTCTTGCCGTGTTCAGACAGATGCAGTTGACAGCTGGGACAAGCGAAGGTTCACCGAGCACATGCCACAGGTTGCCAATCAAGAGACAGGGCAACCACGTGGTGAGACGAAGGACCATCAGCTGGTGTTCCATGCAACTCCAAAACCAGTAGCTACTAGTAACAAGGACGCTACTAGGGGCTCCTGGCCGTACTACTAGGAGCAAGGACGCTATTAGAAACAAGAAGCTACTACAGAACTAGAATCAAAACGAACGAATCTAACTTTAAGTAGAATTGAATGGGAGCAAAGGGCATCGCTACTAGGTGGAGACCATCGCTAGTAGGTTCGAGGCCTTGCTACTAGCAGGCCTTGCTTTCTTTTCGGTCCAAGGTCCGAGGCTCCGTCTTGGCGCGTTGCGCTCGTTCCTCGAGTCTTTGGAAGCGTCGACAGCCCGGGCAGTCGCAGAAGTCGGCGGAGCCACCGCACCACCCCGAGGGCGAACAGCAAGCGGCACCTGCAGCAAGCAGGAGAGGTAGAGGATTCACTACGGTAGCTGGACAGGGAACTTTGCCCCTAGTAGCTTCTTGCCCGTAGTAGGGCCAGGATGCCCTTTGTTCCTAGTAGCGTCCTTGCTCCTAGAACGTTCTCAGAACTTCCTTGTACTGCATCTTCCTTCTCGTCGCTCATCTCTCACCCTCTCCCCACCTCAAGGAAGCTTCTAGTTACTAGGAAGCCTATTAAACAAAACAACACTACAAATGAAATGATTCCCATTGAAACGATCCCCAAGGAAGCTCTCCTCACCTCCATATGGATCGCATTCTCCAGGGGTTCCAGCTTCCGCAGGGAATTGGGGTCCGCAGCGGCCATCAGAACGCCAGGGTGGCGTCACCAAGATCGTCGTTTTCGTTCCGACCTGGTCTGCTTCGAGTGTTGCGAGTTGAAACGAAGAAAGCGAAGCGAAGGGCATCGCTACGAACGGGGCTCCTGGCCGTACTACTAGTAGCAAGAAGCTACTATAGAATTAGATTTAAAACCAATCTAATTTCAATTACTAGCAATGGCCTCCACCCTAATAGCGATGGCCTCCAACCTACTTGATCACTCACATTTGAGCAAAAAACAGCATATGTCGAAAGAATGGGTTCATCTCAAGAACCTTGACATTCTGAAATATTCTACTAGGAACAAGAAAGCTACTAGAAGCAAATAGCTACTAGTAACAAAGGGACTCGCTGCTAGGAACAAGAAAGCTACTAGGGGCTCCTGGCATCGCTACTAGTTGCATTCTAAATCTTCTATTCGTGCACTCTTCAAAGAGGGCAACCCACCTTGGAGACTGGCTGCCGTCCAATGAAATCAGCCAGAATTTCCCCCTGCGAAGTGAACGGCGAAACGGAGGCGGTCAAAGCGCCGACCAGGAACCCGGGCATCGCTACTAGGAGCACCGACCCATGTTTTCAGATACGGCAAAGCAGCACGGCCGCAGCACGGCTGCTATCTAATTACATTCTTATTGTTACTAGTAGTAAGGCACTTGTTTCTAGTAGCTTCTTGTTACTATTACTACTAGTAAGGCACTTGTTACTAGTAGCGAGGCACTTGTTACTAGTAGCAAAATGAACTTCCCCGAACCCATGCTCGTTCCTGTCCGAAATGGGCTCTGCCCTAGCAATGGCCTTCATTGAAATGGCCTACACCACTCCATCGAAACAGCCGGGCACCGCCTGGAAAAAGACCTCGAACAATGTCTGGTTGAGCTTTGCAACCCGAGTTGACCACTTTTGTGACGTCAAGTTGAGCCTCAGTCTGGAAGCAGCACGAGCCACCAAGGTGTTGTGCTTTCTGTCAACTGCAGGGCTGAGACAAAGAGATGAGGATGATGAAGCGATGGCCTCCAACCTACTAGCATTCTTGCTCCTAGTAGCGATGCCAGGAGCCCCCAGTAGCTTCTTGTTCCGAATAGCGATGGCCTTCCCCTACTAGCATTCATTCAAGAGATAAGGACGATGAATAACTTTGGATAGCTCGAATTTCTGTGTAAAGAACACATGCTTGCCTGCACTGCCTGCTGCCTGACGAGAACGTCTGGGAGGTTGAGGAAGTATGCAGAACAAAACACAGGTTCCGTGTAACACGGAGGCCTTCCTTTTTCATGTTGGAGGACAGGCTGGAGGCCATCGCTATTGGGTTGGAGACCCTGAATATATGCGAGAAACTAGTAGGAACAAGAAACTCATAGGGGATCCTGGCCTTACTACTAGGAGCAAGGACGCTACTAGGGCTCCTGGCATCACTACTAGTAACAAAGGGTTGGTCGATATGTTGAGATCAAATGCGTCTCCGTGCGTGCCTTCGTACACTACACACACACACTACGTGGTTGCATTTCGACGAAGCACTTGCCACAAAGAGATTCCAAGGTCCTGTGTGGAGATCACACGCTGGACGTGAAACTCAGTTACATGCCTGTCTCCGAAAGCACTAAACAAAACTTCTCCCCCAAGCAACGTGGCACCAAGCAAGTGCTATCTATCCACTTCTATCCACTCAGTCCCTCCTCTCCCTGTCTCAGACACTTACCTTCAACCCAAGGCTCCAGAGAAAGTCCAAGACTTTGAACAAACAACTCAAAACAAAACTCATGTATTTTGTGCCTGGCATACACAGCGCAACCCCAAGAAAACTGTGTGATACAAAAGGGAATGACCACTTTTTGTTCCGCCTTTTGTTCACCCTTCGGTTGTTTACCCTTCTAGTTTTGTTGACTCGTATCATGTCCGTGTTCTTCTCCTTCTGCCGTTGGTTCTTCTTGTTCTCACAGAATTGGGACCGTGGGACAGGTGTGTTCAGTGTGTCGCAAAGGTCACACTGCCCAGCTGCATTTCAAGAGTCGAGGCTTTTAGGGTGCTAAAAGTAGCTAGTACGGGTAACGCGCGTGGTGTGAAAAGAAAAACATATTTTTTCTACGTTTTCGTTTTATTGTTTTTAACTTTCCTATTTCCTTTATTGTTCTTGATTTTTGGGTCCTTAGACGATCTTGTTATATTCCAACAGGTGCTGGTTGTGCCGTGCGATCCGTTCCACTTGTCGTATTTTTGGTTGTGAGTCTATTGAACGAAAAAATGTTCCTTCGCTTTTCTCCGATGGGTCCATCAGGACACAGTTCTCAGCCGTGAGCGACGTGGCTGGACCGTTTTCTCTGGGGGACACTCAACCGCAGGGAGACCGAGGATCCGGATGCTCCTGTGGTTCTTCCCTGGGGATGGCACCGCGTTCGATCGGTTTTCGAACATCCACTTTAGCACACGCTACTCGTACGCAAGATGTGGATATTCTCTGGAGCTAATATTATGTAGCGAGCCTTGTTTCTAGTAGCGATATCTCTGCCAAAAATCTGTATGACCCAGGGTGCACTGGACCAATTGGGACCAATTTTATGTTAGGCTCAGGCAACGGCCTTGAAGTCGTGCATGTGCACCGTTCTGCTTACGTAAAGAAAGAATTTCTGAAGAAAAACGATGGTGTAACCCATGAGCACGAATGCACACGTACGAAAACACAATCAACTGACAACCATACCTAGTCTGACACTGTTACTGTACTTACTTGGCACTCGCCGAAAACACTCTTGACGGACATTCTGGGGAGACACTCTTCTTAATAGTAACTTCTTGCTCCTAGTAGCGATGCCTGGAGCTACAAGTAGCTTCTTGTTCCTAACGTAAACACACTTTCCACCGAGACAGCGCCAAAGCACATGGCGCAGCGAAGTCGCAAACGTAGTTTCGCCGCAGTGCGGGACACTCTTGTCGGAGACGCTTCCACGAAGTTCACACTACTCTGGGGCGTCATGCCAGGCTTCCTCCAAAAGACACGCATCTAGCCTCCAAAACGAACAAATCGCACAGCCGTGCCAAGCAGGTCTGCAATCCAAACCCTCGAAAGAGCACCGGCAAACACGCCATTCTCAATAGCGCAGCGACATTCACCTGCACCAAACATCGCCCTAAACTTGTCTCGACAACACAGCTTCGAAGCCCTCAAGAGCAAATCCTGGCACAGCGGCGTTCAACACCACAAAAGAGCCCTGCCAACGCCACCTGCGCAGCAAAATCATCCTCCACACTTGAACATGTTAGGTCTCTGCGCTATTTCACTCGAATGTCACACTTCATGCTTCCATCCGACACCCTCTTCCAAAAGCTTTCCCCAATGGGAGGGCCTGCAGATGGTTGCAAACGGTTGCAAGCATCCCACCTCCAGAACCAGAAAACGAGAACCGTTCGCCACGCATTCGGGGAATAAAGAACAACTTCTTTTGGCCTTTCTCGTAGTTGTCGGGTGCAAGACTGATGCAGATTTCTTCAGCTTGACTGATGGAGATAATTGACAGATCGGAATTTGACAGACAGGTTTGAAGCAAAGTACAAAAACAGTGAAAACACTCAGGTTAACATTTAGTTAATCATGTTTTGTATTTTGTTTGTCTTCTCAATTTGCACACTCTGCTTGAGACTGTCCGAGCTTGGCAAGGACAGATTCCGAATGAAACTAGAATGAAACTAAGTTAGGTCTAAATCAAGTTGGAAGTAAACATACATTCAGCTAGAATCAATAAGAGGCTGACATAATTGAACTATATTAGCTTGGAATGAGAACTGAACTAACATTAAGTCATAACTAAAATTCAACTAACATTGAAGCACACAAAAACTAGGATTCACCAAAGTTAGGATCAGAACAAAGATTTGGATTCAGTTCGACTAGCATTGGAACTGAGTGAAGATGAAACCAAACTATAACTTAATCATAAGGAACCATCAAAATAGAACTAAATTGATTTCAGATTTGCGTTAAGTAGGCATACCGTACCTTAGATTTCAACTAAATTAGAATACTATTTAAACAAAGAAGACTTTAAGCAAATTGAATTAGAATCCAACTAAGTCCGAATCAAATTGCATTTCAGTTCAACTAACAATAGAACAGACTGGATTAAACTGACTCGTTAGTAATATGTTAAACTGGAATCAACATAGAAATAGAATCAACTAAGTTGGAACTAAACTTCAACAACACTACGTTGCAATTGAAGTATATTTGAAATGTTTGATCTAGAATTTTCAGTACAACTATAACTGAATTGAACCTGAAAATGAACAAACTATATAGAAGTGACATTGATTTATATTGAAATTGACAGTTCAACTTAAATTCAACGGAGGACTTAGATCAGAACTTAAAGATTCCGCATTCGTCTCTGTCTGTCCTGGCGAAGAACAGCATCCAGGAATGCAGATCCAAATGGCATTCGTCGGAATTCACGTAGAGCCCCCGTGGATAATCGTCCAAACCACTGGCCAAGCAATGCGCCGCAGTTCGTCCCTTCCATCGGAAGCACGAAGCGCGATGGTCCGATCGCTGGCTTCGCTCCAACCAAGCGTACCATCTCGTCAAGCGCGGAAAGGCTTTTTCGGAGAAGGACAACACCAAGTGCCTCGGTTTCAGTAGAAAAAAACGGGCAAACGCTATATTTGGGCTTTCAGCAAAACTCATGCTGTTCCAACCCTTTCCATCTCGTTTCCTTTCATGAAGATTGTTGTAAACAGTTCCTGAGTATGTGGGACATTTGTACCCACACCTGAAACCATTAAGGGGATCAGCAATGTTTTTAAAAAAGGACGCTGTTAGGTTGGAGGCCATCGCTTCTAGGTTGGAGGCCATCGGTCTTAGGTTGTAGGCCATCACCATTAGGTCCGGGATCAGTAAGATTTCCTCAAAATCGATTGACGGCATTCCGGTCCAGGACTTGCTTTCAACAGCAAAGCACAAGCAAGAAACGCATGCTGAACGGACACTCAAAACGAAAGAAACCAACAGGATCAAAGCGATTCCAGTTTCCTTTTTTTTTGGAAACACAAGCAACAAATGTTGCGAAGAACTTGAAAGGGCCAGGCAGTTCAATTTCAAGTTTATGTCATTCCAGGGCTCAAGGTATATAAGCAGAACTTGAATACTGAGCCTTGAAAGCCCCAGAACTCAAGAGGAGTTCGCCTCACCAGTGAGCTAAGCTATAGCGGCTGACAACCGTGCTGACTGGCTTGACCTACTGGCGGACCTGTGCGCTAAAGAAGAAGAAGAAGAAGAAGACCAAGAAAAACTTAGTGAATTCTAAACCCTGACGACTACAGGTTTCGGATGTGTTTCGCGAAACCTTTTAATGACTTCGTTCGATATTACCTGAAGATATCTTCATATCGTCTCAGTACTTTACATTGAAGGAGTCCATCACAATTGTCGAATGTCACCAACGGTGTCACCGAAAATGCCCTAGTAGCGTCTTTGTTCCTAGTAGTAGGGCCAGGAGCCCCTAGTAGCTTCTTGTGACTAGTCCCTGTGAGTCTTGGCACTTGAAGTCTGTCGAGCTCATCTTGCTTTGCCGTGCCAAGGATTCCACAAGCTCATCATCTGCATCCAAAAGCCAAACCAAGGGCAATAGAAGACTTGGTGGATTTGCAATGTCAGGGTCCTGGATGGACTCAACAAGAATAGGCCGATTCAAGAACATCCCGACTGAAAGAAACACATTCTGGAAAGAATTTGTTATAGACACCTTTTCTACTTTGCAGGCTTCCCCTGTCCAAGCGGGTCTGAGAACGAATGTAAACCCTTGCAATCGTGCTTTACAAAAGCTCACCAATAGACACCCCTGCGGGCTATAGTGTGACCTCCACCTAGTAGCTTCTTGTTCCTAGTAGCGACGGCCTTTGCTCCTAGTAGCGTCCTTGTTCCTGCCCCCCCCGGCGCGTGCGCACGGTCCTAGTAGATTTCTTTGCTCATTACTTAGTTCTAATTCAACTTAATTCTAATTACTAATTCTTGTTTCTACTAGCTTCTTGTTACTAGTAGTAAGGCCCTTGTTCCTAGTAGCGATGCCCTTTGCTCCTAGTAGCGTCCTTGCTCCTAGACCTCTACTCCGATCTTCTGTTTGGACTTGAACCTTTGTTCCTAGTAGCATCCACGCTCCCAGTAGCGATGCCAGGAGCCCCTAGTAGCTTCTTGGTCTCATTTCCTTTTCGTGAGTTGAGTGGAGGTCGGGTTCCTTGTGGCAACCTTGAGTGGTCGCTTCAAACGCTTGAAGCCGCCTGGCGTCACATGAACATGTGGCAGACGCAGTTTACATTAAAATATTGATGGCCTCCACCCTAGCAGCAATGGCTCCACCTAGTAGCGATGGCCTCCACGGCCTCCCTAGTTGCGATGGCCTCCAACCTCATAGCAATGGCCTCCAACCTGACGCTACTAGGGGCTCCTGGCATCGCGACTAGGAGCAAGGACGCTACTAGGGGCTCCTGGCCATACTACTAGTAACAAGAAGCTATTAGAAACAATCATTGGCAGCTTCGCCCACGCATGGCCTTTGAAGCGAGGGGTGGGGCTGGGAGGTGGGCGGGGGTGCCCACCCCTTCCTTTCTTAGCATCCTTTGAATGCCTTCTTCTCCTACCTTCCCCCCCGCATACTGTGGGCAATGGCCTCCAGCCTACTATAACAATGGCGTTCTTGTCCTACCCGTTAGAATAAGGTATATGACGTGTAGCCGAACCCACGATATCACGAAGTGACGGCGCGTGACGGCGTCCTGTGGCAAGAATTGCTGTGGCACTCGGATTTCCTGCTCCGACCCCAAAGGCACTTCACGTGGGATCCAGCCTGATGGCTCTTGAAGCTCCAACCAATGCGCCAACACATCCTGATTGGGAATGCCAAAATGACGAATTAGGAGCAAGGACGCTACTAGGAACGGTCTTTGAAGCTACTAGTAACAAGTGCCTTACTAGTAGTAACAAGAAGCTATTAGAAACAAGTGCATCGCTACTAGGAGCAAGAAGCTATTAGTAACAAGTGCCTTACACTCTAGTTGCTGCCGAAAGGCGAAGAAGATTCTGGGGTGCCACCGACACAGAATTAGGCCATGGAAGCCTTCATCCCAAAGAAAACCTCAAAGTTGCTCAAGCGACGTCTTGGTCCAACATGGTTTCTCCCAAGCAAGCAAAGAACCTACTAGCGTTCTTGTTCCTAGTAGCAAGGCCAGGAGCCCCTAGTAGCTTCCTTGTTACTAGTAGCGATGCCCTTGTTACTACTAGCTTCCTGTTACTACTAGTAAAGCACTTGTTACTAGAAGCGATGCACCTGTTCCTAGTAGCGTGGCACTTGTTACTAGTAGCAAAACCTTCGTGTCTTCTTCACGTCTTGGTCCAACCCATCTCTCTCTCTCTCTCTCGCTCCTCTTTCCAACACATGTCTCGCATCATCTCAACGCCGTAAAGGTTCAGCTTGTTAAAGGATTGCGTCCTATTGGTTTCCTTTCATCGCTAGTAGGTTGGAGGCCAATCCTATCAGGTTTCCTTTCATTGCGCGCACCCGACGCGACTGCCAGCCTCTTGGAAAGAAACTTCTCGAAGGCACAGCTGTGAAAAGCACCTTCTTGGGAAGTCTTTGCAGCGAGGTTTCAGAGGTCTTGACCTCAAAGAATGCAACACACCTAACAGCGAGGAACAATCAAACTATATAAAGGTCCTACTTGTTGCACCCCTCAAAATCGATTTAAACAAATTTTAGCAAGTCTTTGGCGAGAACCTCTTTAGCTCTTCTGGCATTTGACGGCTTCTTTATGGCGCCGTCTTAGCTTAGTAGCAAGAAGCTACTAGCGTCCTTGTTCCTAGTAGTACGGCCAGGAGCCCCTAATAGCGTCCTTGCTCCTAGTAGCGATGCCCTTTGCTCCTAGTAGCGTCCTTGTTAGTAGCTCCTCGCAATTCTACTAGAAACAAACCGATTCTACGTGGAGGCCATCGCTACTAGGAGCAAGAAGCTACTAGTAACAAGTGCATCGCTACTAGTTTAGCGCGCGAAACACAGAGCATTGCAGGGCACGGCCAGTGTGTCGGGATCGTCGGGCTGGTTTGATGTTGGTATTCAAGGAGATCTCCCCGCCATGCAAACAGAAGCTTGTTTGAAGACCCCTTTTGCATGATAAAGACCTCTTAGAATTTACGGATAATTTAGCTCTTTCTGGAGTCGCTGTGGCAGAGTGGTTCTCTTTTCTGTCCTCAGAGCTCCTGTGTGTGCATGAACAGAATCCGCAGCCATGTTGTCTGGAACCTTCATTTTGGACATAGTATGTTTTTTGCAATTGAATTACAATTATGGACCTGGACTGGGAATTGGATTCTATTCACGGAGCATTTTGGAATACTAAATCAAATTTGATCTGGATTTTCTGGGAACCTGATTAAGACTAACATTAAGACATCAAGACCTTTGTCTTTCTTTCGGAATTCACTTATTAACATGCTTTGATCCCTCAAACTGAGGACACCTTGTGGCTTTCTGGCCCGCGATCGAAGGACCCTCGACATACGACCCGTTTCCGGAGGCGGATAGGCCGTGAGGTAGCAAGTAGCAAGCGGTAGCTACTAGCCAGGTAGCAACCTCTTAAGCTTCTACTTTTCTTTTTTCTAGTTGGTGGCCCTGCCTCCTTATTTAAATAAGTAATTAAGTAGAGACTGCCTACTTGATTAAGGGCGACTAGTAAGCTACTAGGAGAAGTTCGCTCCTACATATGGACGCAGGATAGCTGCATAGCTCACGCTTCTTCAAGGAAGCTACCCTCGCCTGAGCTTCCTTGAAGCAGCGCTCGCACCATGCATGTGGTTCATAGTAGCGATGCCCTTTGTTCCTAGTAGCTTCTTGTTCCTAGTAGTAAGGCCAGGAGCCTCTAGTAGCGTCCTTGCTCCTAGTAGCGATGCCAGGAGCCCCTAGTAGCTTCTAGCTACTAGTAGCTTAAGGACACTTGCCACCCCAAGGCCACATGCCACTTCCGTCAATGGCATCTAAACCTACAACATGACACCCTCTGGAACCTCTCTCTGGGCACTCGATTGACCCAACAGGTTGTAAAACACGGACCGACACTCGGCCGTCCAATAGCGATCCGCTCAAATCTGACACTCCAAGCCACTAGGAGGCGCCCTCGGAAGACTCCCAAGCCGCCCAACAGTGATGCCACTGCCAGATGTAGCGCCTCGCGTCGCTCGAGCTCGCTGGGAGCTTCGTCCGCTTCGTCCGCTTTGCCCTTTGATCCACTCGTCCTTCCATCATTGAGCTCATTGAACTCACTCTTGAACCTCCAGGGTGTGCAAGATGTGTGGAAGAGTGCTTCGGGCGTACTTCGGGAGGACGAACATGTTTGGAAAACATATTTACCAAATGTTCCTAGTAGCGAACATTGCTCCTAGTAGTAAGGCCAGGAGCCCCTAATAGCGATGCCCTAGTAGCGTTGACCATTCCTCAGTGCAGTTGTTTCATGTTGTTTTTGAAGAATTTGAATTCTAATTACTAATTTAATTCTATTTACTAATTCTTGTTTCTACTAGCTTCTTATTACTAGTAGTAAGGCCCTTGTTCCTAGTAGCGATGCCCTTTCGAACCTTTGAGTTCTGTCGCGCTCGAAGACCTCTGACATTTGCCTGGCATCGAGCATCGAGCATCGAATGCACTTATGCACCTCATTCAGTGTCGATGCACTTGTTCCTAATAGCTTCTTGTTACTACTAGTAAGGCACTTGTTACTAGTAGCGATGCACCTGTTACTACTAGCGATGCACCTCATTCAGTGTTCCAAGGCACTTTTCTAGCGTAGATACAGAGACCTATAGTCACAAAGAATGCCAAGGGGTCTTCAAGGTGGCTTCTCCCAGTGTCTGGGGGAAGTTTCCCTGAAGCTGAGTCTTACCCGCGTCCTTGCTACCAGCTAACATTTTTGTTGCTGGCTTCCTTCCTATGTGGCCACATACATCGACAACTCACTTTGTTGATGAGAAATGTGTGGCAAAGGCTCTGAAGGGGGGCCTGCTCAAGGTCTATTCTGATTAGGAACAAGAAGCTACTACGGGCTCCTGGCCCTGGCCATGCTACTAGGAGCAAGAAGGCTAGTAACTTGGAGGCCATCGCTCTTAGGTTGGAGGCCATAGCTAGTGCTTTCAGTCTTCACAACTCAGTTTCACTTGCCACTTGAAAGGACAATGGGCTCCCAAACTGGCACCTGACCGGTACCTTTGGACATTCGGGTCTTGAATCGGCTTTCCAACCCCACTTCGAAGTTGTCGACTTTTTGTGTTTGTTTTGGAAGGTCAAGGATAGAACCATGAACCATGATGAACCATGTGCAGAAAGGAAACCACGGAACTGTTCGTCCTCGCTACGTTTTGAAGTCTTCGGATTTCGATTTCATGGCATCCTCCAGCAATCGGCTCTCGGCATTGGCATCCAGGATTCTCCTGGACGGCGGAGCTAAAAACACAAGGATAGTGAGAAGTGTAATCGTTCAAACGCAAATGATCAACATAAGTAACGTAGTCTACTCAATTGCCCTGCCTGGAAACGCGGAAATCCACGTGAAAATCCACTTGAAGCGACGTGTTGCTTGCGAGCTGAAAGGCCATCCAGTTCGCAGTTCCGGTCTCGTCACTGTCCTGAAGGACCAAAAGCGAAAGAAAAGAAACTAGATCTAAAGGTCTAAAGAAAAAAAGGACATCAAGGATACATATATATATATATCAAAAAGGAAAGAAACTACTAGGAGCCATCGGACGCTACTAGGAACCAAACGAGAAGAAGAGTTCTCTGCGGTCTGTGCCCCAAGCAGAAAGCCAGTCCGAATGGAACACATCCGTGCTTTCTCCGTGCTTTCGGAGCGACTCGTGGCATGAAGCTACTAGGAACAAGTGCCTCGCTACTAGGAACAAGTGCCTTACTAGTAGTAACAATTAATTCGAAGGTTTAGGTCTGGTGTGCCCAGCAGCTTTTCTGGTTTCAACAGGAACGGGTTCTTTCTACCTTCGAACGCAAACACAAGGTCCTCTTTCAGACTGGATTCACTTGTCTCACTGGGTCTTTGTGATGTGAAATGCGATGTCTAATCTCCTTTCGGAACAGACGGCCAAGGCACTGGCAAGCGAGGCCTCTTTGTCTTCGACAAAAACTTCTGCAAATTCCTTTTCGCATCCCATACACCTGTGGCAGTGCGAGGTAGAAGCTACTAGTAACAAGTGCATCGATACTAGTAACAAGTGCCTTACTAGTAGTAACAAGAAGCTATTAGAATTAAGAGTAATTAGAATCCAATTAAAATTACTTTGAGTAAAACCCTGTGACATCATCGTGTTACAATGTGTTTGGCCATTGCTTCTAGGAAGAAGGACGCTATTAGGTTGGAGGCAGTAAACAAATGTGTTTGGCCAATTGGTTCTTGCCACCTGTACTCTGCGAAGCATCTGCTTCATCAGGCTGGATGTACGCCTGAGCTCCAGGCACCCAACAATTCAGATTCGATGCAGGCACCGTGTTCGATCGCCAAGCTGTGTGTAATTAAATTCTAATTACATTCTTATTGTTACTACTAGTAAGGCCCTTGTTCCTAGTAGCGAGGCACTTGTTCCTAGTAGCTTCCTATTTTACTTGTCGAGTTCAGGCAATACAAGATGTGTCTAGAGTCTCAAGAAACAAAGTGTCTAAAGGCAAGAAAGGCCTCAATTGTTTAGCTTTTTTCTCTTGATTCTTCTCGTTTCAATCACCTCCTTTCTCACCCCTCGCCTTGTCGTTTATTGAATTCACGATCGTTTTCGTTCTGTCGTTCCTCTCTGTGTCTTCACACCACTTAGACCTTTCAAAGGTCCAAAACATATAGGTATAATTAGATATGTCAAGGAACGATTCCACTTGCATATTTTTATAGATATAATACACGCTGGAAACCCGAAACCAAGATGGCTGGCAAAATAAGTGCTTGATGGCACAACAAGGATTCGCGCCCAGGGAGTTTTTCAGGGCTTAGAGGTCAGGATCGCCACAATGTTGTTGTGCACTCCGCAGATTGAGCGACGAGCAGGATCACGGTGGAACGCAAAACGAACAATAAGAAAGATAGACACAAGATGAAACAAGTATTGAGAACGAACGTAGCTAGAGATGGAGACTTGTAGAAAAAGACAGTCTCAACACCACACACGCTGATAAAATCCATGGTAGATTTTCCAGTGCTTTGCTGCAACTTACCAGCTTTTGGCAGTACCGTGCCAGGGTCGTAGGCTTCAGATTTCCTCAAGACCTATTCAACTTCTTTTTCTGGTGTCTCTATGGCCTTCGAAAGCCTTTTGCTTCGTTCCGTAGGAACGTGCAGCAGTGTACTTACCTTCTCTGCATTGATTGTTTTTGCAAGAGCTACTTTTCCTTGAAGAACACGATGGAACACAGTCAAGTTTCTTGTGCAACAAATGTTCTCATTACAACACATGGTACAAGCGATCAAGCCTTTTGTAACTAGAAGCTACTAGATGGAGGCCATCGCTACTAGGGTGGAGGCCATCGCTACTAGTAAGAAGAAAGCTTTCTAGTAACTAGAATCCTTCATATTGGCATCACATTCAGGCATCAATCTGAGGTGTTTGATGTTCACATTGAGAAGCCTTGAGGGGAAGTCCTAGCATGTTGCACCTCGGGCAACCCCAGAAGTGCTCTTTTGCTTCGCTGTGTCTCGTCGAACGCTGATGCCAAGCGACTGATACATGATGCAATTTGCCCTGTTCTTTCGCTCTCCTCAAACATCCACTTGCAGTGCTCAAGTGCTCCAGGTTTCCCTAAAAATCTAGCCCAAATGAGTAGCGCGAGCTAACCTGCGTCCTAAATAGTAGCGTACTAGTAGCTACTAGCTACATGAAGTAGGCGCCTACTTAATTTAAAGAGGCAGGGCGACTCCGTCTGCTTTTCTCCTGAAAGTGAGTCGTGCATCAAAAGGTCCGGCCACAGGATCCACGCCCGAAATCTTCAGAGACCGCGACTGCGAGTCCTGCCTCGATCGCTTTTTGGCTTCTTCGCGCAGCGTGTCGCGAAGCGTCACGAAACAATGTCTATTTGTCAACTGTGCTTGTTTCTTTTAGAAAGAGAGGTTGAACAGTCTAATGAAAGGGAAGAAGTGCACTTGACTAGTGTTTTTGGCATCCGCTTCGAATCAGATTTAATTGGATTTTGCATGTGTTTTCGACCGTTTTCGACAGCCTCCAATCGGAATCCTCATCGACTTGCAACCTGCTGGTGGCCTGAAAGCGCAAAGCGGCAAAGCTGAGACTGAATGAGGCGGTTCACATGGCCCTACTTGCTTTGTCGTTTCTTGAAGACCGCTATGCCCTCCAACCTACTAACTAGCGATGGCCTCCAACTCAGAAGCGATGGCATGAATATATATATGATGTCGGCACTACCTTACACCTTTTGGAACTTTTCCTTCAAGATTTATAAGGACAAGTACTTTTTGGTTTTTGCTTTGTCACTGTACTTGACTTCCTTCGTGCAAATGGACTGTTTAAAGAAACAAAAAGAACTGCTCCCCCCCCTGGGACCCACAAGCAGGGGTTCCTAGTAGACGGGTTTGCATTGGGTGGGGCAAGAAAAACAAGATGATTTGAGCATCAATCAATCAAAAGAAACGCTTGATATTATGAAATAGGTATCACAGTAAGTTCTTTATGTCCCCGCAGTTGCAGGGGACCTGCCAACATAACAAAAAACAATCAATGTTCGATCGACTTGCATATCAACTTCACAGTCAAAGCCAAAATGCTTGTGGCTTCGTGGTGTTCAAGTCTTTTGCCAACTTTTGCCAAACAAGTCACTTCCAAGGAATCGCTTCTCAATGAGAACTGATTGGAAGTGGAGCCAAAACACGCCGGAAAAAAGTGCCGGTGACCAAAGGATGATATAGTGGGTCTTGTCTAGCGTCCTTGTTCCTACTAGTAAGGCACTTGTTACTAGAAGCGATGCACTTGTTCCTAGTAGCGAACATTGCGTGACCAAATGATGTTTAAAAACCTGTGCCCAGGAATTCTGAATGCTCGCACGTAGTGCCAAAGCATCCGGGTGGACTCACCGGGTAGCAATTTGGTGGCTCTGCGCATGAATGGCTGAGCAATCTTGCGGCCCTAAATGGCTCACCAGATTTGAATCCAAAAGAGGAAACTACTAGTAGCTCCTGGCATCACTACTAGGAACAAGAGGACGCTATTAGAAACAAGGGCCAGCAGCTACTAGGAGCGTCCTTGCTCCTAGTAGCGATGCCCTTTGCTACTAGTAAAGTGAGTGGGCCCTTTCAATGAAAGGTCATCACAACGGCCCTAACTTTCCTTTGTGCCCTTTCAAACCATTTCTTTTGCAATGCGAACAAGATCACGCGTCGTTTTCACAGCCTCAATGCCCAGGTATGGGAACAAAACAATGGCTTTGGCGGAGGCACCTGGTGACCGGAGCTAAAGACGTTTCAACAAAGAAAGACATCTCTTTTTTTGGATTAGGCATATTAACCTGCAACAAAGCTCCTAGTAGCGTCCTAGCTCCTAGTAGTAAGGCCAAGAGCCCCTAGTAGCGTTGCCCTTTGCTCCGTTCTTGCATCTTGCAGTCTCGAGTCTAGGCTCCCGCCTAGGGTCGTGGTGTTGATGCGGACGTGCCACTTCTTGGAGTCCTCCTCACATCAAAAAGTGCTTCCACCCAAGCTACTAGGAACAAGTGCATCGCTTCTAGTAACAAGTAGTAACAAAAAGTGAAGCTATTAGGAACAAGAATTAAATTAGAAACTACGTGTCACTGACTCACTTCCCTCAAAATAAACGTGTCCCCCAAAACCGTGTCGTTTTCGTCCACGTGTCACCTTGACGAAAATGGTCTTCAGCTCGTGCCCCAGCTTCTCATCTTCAATTCTTTGAAAGCCATAGTTCCGTCCATCCTCACTCGACTTGCTGCACGTACCGCGCGCAACCTGGTGTTACCTGACGCCGTTTCCTGTGTGTTCTTTCAGCATCGTGCTGAAAACATGCAATGAAAAGAGATTGTCTGTGTGTGTGTCTGTGTGCTTTATTTTATTCTTCTGTGAAATTCGAGCAACTCCCAATTGAAGCAAGAATCGTGCTCTTGCCAATTGAATGCTCTCAGCTGGCCAGACTCACACCTCAAAAAAAGGGCACCGCTGGACTTTGCTTGTCAATGCTGGTCCTTTCTGATGTTCTTTCCCTTTTTGATGACATTGTATAAATCGTTAGTAGAAACAAGTGCATCGCTTCTAGTAACAAGTGCCTTACTAGTAGTAACAAGAAGCTATTAGAAACAAGTGCATTTCTTATCCCAGGTCTTTAGACATTCCTTTCTTTTTTCTCTAGTGACTACCTGATAACAAGAAGCTACTAGGGTGGAGGCCACTACTAGTAGCTGGAGGCCATCGCTACTTGCAATGGGTGCTTCTTGGATCTTGCCTTTTGGCCCAAACATTTTGGCACACAGTGTTACTAGTAGCTTCTTTGCTCCTAGTAGTAAGGCCAGGAGCCCCGAACGTAGCGTTGTTGCTACCAGTAGCGATGCCCTTTGCTCCGTTCGTAGCGAACATTGCTACTAGGGCTGAGAAACCACCAAGGCACTCGTGGCGTAGGAGCTTTCCATCCAATGAGCCCCACATGAGGCCAAAAAGAAAGGATTTTTCATGACGACCCTTCACTCCAAAGTAGATCCCAGGCCTGAAACAGGTCGAAAAGGAAGCGGGCTGTCCCCGTTAAGCGGAAAACGTTCTTCTTGTGTGTTTCACGAATGGAAAGCGCGAAGCCTGTAGGTACCCCAAGTCATCTCCTCTTGATATTCCTCTGGGAAGAGCTCTGGTGTCATCAAAGGAACAGGATCCAACTGAAACCTGAAACGGAAGGGGTTGGAGGCGGAGGCCATCGCTGGAGGCCATCGCAAGTAGGTCTGTTTTCACCATGACCGACCCGTCGAGTCAAAGAGCGAGCGATTCTGTACCAAACACGTCTGGGTATCTTCAACAGCCCTCGTAACACGCTACTAGGAGCAAGAAGCTACTAGGGGCTCCTGGCCTTACTAATAGGAACAAAGACGCTACTAATTTAAATTCTAATAGTTTGTTGTTACTAGTAGCGATGCACCTGTTACTACTAGCGATGCACCTGTTACTACTAGCG